ACCGGAAGATGAAGCAGACGATTGAAGTAGCCATCGGGGGGCTCAACTACGGTACATCGAGATGATGAAAAAGGATCCATGTTGTCGTCAGCGTTGCTGAGCGCACCAGAAACAGACTAATTGGGTAAGTCACTCGAATCCCGGTCGATTCTGCCATCCAGCAACCAATATCCTCTACGAAAATTAGTTTGTCAAATCTGTGCCAGGAATTTTATGCAGTATTGTTTCGGGGAAAGTTTACATGTTACTGATGTAATTATGCGGTAGATTGTTTGTTAGACAGTTAAGACTCGCAACTGAACAACGCCAGAGAGTGGATACCTCACTACCTGCCCAAAGGACAGTGCAACTTTAGCTAAGATTCGCTCAATCGGTTTTGCAATAAGATCGAAAACGACAGAGTTTGCAATGAAGAGGTCAGCTTTTGGGAAAGTGGAGGGACTGTACAATTAGGACAGATACAAAAAAGTTAAGTTTCCGCTTTCTGGAATTCGTAGTCGGGAAACTTTTTTTTCAAGGCCTCAACGCGACCTTTGAAGCTTGACACTCGCCTGTGAGCACCGAGTGCGGTTTTGCCGCGTGCAGCCTTGGACGAACTTTTGACTGCATCTTTTAGGCGACGGCGTTTCTCCTTTGTGGCATTGGTGACTTGCCGCGGTATTCTTTTGAAGATAAGGGGATCATAGCTGTCGACTATTTCGCCTAGAAAGAGTAAAATAAGGCATTTGGAGTTTTGGTTTGAAAGAGGGAGCAATCAGCCGGGGTAGCAGAGCAAAACGGTCAGGAATTTACAGATTTGTACCTTGAATGGGTGAACGACTACATTATAGTCCAATGTTCTACAGGTTTTTCGGACAACAGCATAGAGATGCAATATTTTAGGCCAGACGTCAGTAGTGTTCACCCTCGACGATGATCGAGATAATTAACATATTTTGCAGTACTCACATCAAAACGAAAAACACTAGCGTGTGATGTCTTCAGTACCATAAATACCGGTTAGCTGGTGATAACGCAGGGTCCCAGATGATTTAACACATTAATATTTCCTGTTTTGCATTGTGTTATCGACAGTAAACGGTCGAAATATATGAATCAACCTGTCCATGCGTCTCTCAATCAAGCTTTTAAAAACAACGGGGCGCAATCCCATAAGACGAATGGTGAGCGTCCATATAAATAATAAATAATTGCAATCGCAACCATCGGGAAAACGAGCTCGAGGCCTGGATGGTAGAGCATTCCACCCAACGAAAAAAATTTCCGGATTTCAATCCCAGGTTTCAAAAACATGTGGTTAGATATGGCTGATTGGTTACAATAAGCCAGAAATAATCACTGCAGTCTCCATTGTCTTTATCGAAAGTCTTTCACTGAACCTCTGCTCAGCCTGTTTTAGGCCCTCGCGCGTAATCGCGTTTGTCACATTCGATAGATACATTACTGAAAAGTAAGGTAT